ATCAGCTTTAGCCTCTAAATCGTTCTACTCAGTATTCTCTCCACTCGTGCCGCGTCAAAACTGTAAGGAAACACTGGACCCTAGCTGCTGACCGACCAAGTGCTGACGGTTACAAGTAGCCATAGCCTCGCCCTTCGTTCGCGCAGAATTTAAAAGATCTAGGCCAGTTGAAGGTTATCACGTCTCATTGAAAACCGTGGGAGCCAGATGTAGCGGAGGATGGTGAAAATATCTTCAAGTGTAGAGTAATGAAAGAAATAGAAGTTACGGGTTTCAGTACTTATCAACCAAAATAGTTCTAAATGCTGAACTAAGCTCAATAGACTTTTCATCTACATAGCCCGTGACAGGTTTCGTGAGTTACACCGGTATCAACTCCAATTTGGTGCGCTTGGAGAGAAAATCTGACAGCCACACACAGAAATTATCAACTCAGGCTCATTAGTGTGAACTGCATAACAGATGGTTAGCGGTACGGCACTGGTCGTAAACACAAACTAGTAGGTCCACTAATGGACCCCTCATACCGGAAGTAGTTTATGCTTGACTGTCAGCTGTAAGAACGCGGGTGTGTATAGGCCTAAAGATTTGTGGTGTGACAGATGAAAGCTACATTGAAACCAAAATGTGTCGCAGGTTAGGTGAATAAACGCATGGTCAGAATACCCAACATTGGACATAAGTAAGGTAGGTCTACGAAACCTGGTGGCCTCCAAAGCCCCTCTCAAACTCTTTTCACAAAACTCCTGAAGTCATCTGGCGGTTCGATGATCATTCTACTCATCAACCTAACCGTTCGTTTTAACTCTCAAGCAACATTCCAATCTACCTAGACTTGGGCTGTGTCGTACGGTAAAACTGTACTTTACAGATAGTTCGAATAGCACAAAGCCAGTATGTATGTGTAGCCTTTACTGATACCCGTACAACTCACGGGCCACCATATGATCATCACCATCAGCTGTGAGAACCGCGTACTCGTCGTACACTGGTTGTAGCTGCCGCAGTTTTGTTCACC